TCTCCCCCCCCCCCCCCCGCCACTGCTTGCCCCTCTGCAGTGGTTGTGGAGGGGGGTGACAAATTTATGAGTCAGCAATTAGATTGTATAAATGGAAAATTATAACGTATTTATACATTTTTCATGTATAGAATTATTATTTTGGGGTCATCCTAAATTCATAGTCATCTTGGACTCAAGTAAATATGGGTAATAAAAAAAGAGCACCTGACTCACCTCGAAGGTTAAGGTCTCAGTAGGGATCAACATAGCTTATCCAATCTGACACTGATCACAACTGAAAATGGCATGACTAAGCCCCAGGGCATTCAAAGCTTTGAACTACTTTAGGGGCAGCCAAAGTTAGTGAAAAGTTCTGAGGGGCAGCAAATAGAGAAAACACTGCCAAAGTTTAGTAGATTATTCTTTGCAGAAAAAGACCAGGAAGAAACTGTCTTCTGGTATTTTTTTTTTTTTTTGTCAGCTTAAAGCAGGGGGAAAAAAGTGTGTCCTTTAGCTGGCACAGGCCAGTACTTTTTTCAGCTCTAGACACATCTAGAGGCTAGTTAGGGGAATGATACAACACGGAAATTTCACATTAATCACTTCCAAGGCCCTTAGAAACTATGGTGCCACAGCACCCAAGAGTAATGGCTAAAAAGTGAAAGATGTAGTATATCAACCCATTAAAAATGCTCTTTTATGCATCAGAATTATAGGGACAGATTTTACCATCTTTACTTACATGGAGTAATGGCTTAACCCACAGCGCATTGAAGTCAGCGCGAGTCAAGTTGCCTGGAGAAAGGTAATTGGGTTACATGAAGAAGTTTGATGTTTAGAAACCTGTTTTTGTTCTGATTGGAAACACTTTCCCCCTCAACCCCAAATTCTGAAATTCTTCATGACAGGAAATGGAGTCCCAGCTTTGAAGCAGCCTGCTTGAGCCAGTGACAATGGAAGCCCTGGTGCCAGACTCTGAGTCAGTTCACTAGGCAGGAGGAAAAAATGTTGAGGAGCCTGGAAGGTGATCCTGGCAGAAGACAAAGCAACGCTCCATCAGAATGCTGTCAAAATGCGTTGTCTCCCGGATATGATTCAATTTTGATGAAGTGGAAACATTGATATAAAAAAGTGTTCTGTCAGTATTTTTCCCAGCCAACTGCAAATATGAGGCTCAATGCCAGAAGTTCTCAAACTGTGGTCCGTGGACCACCACTGGTCCACCAGCTCTATTCAGGTGGTCCGCAGAAAGATTGCAGAACAATCGAGAATATCTGTACTTGTCAGGTATGATTACTGATATTAAAATATGAGTTGTGTGCTTTGATTCATAGAGCAAAAAAAAGTTTAAGTGGTCCGCCGAGACCCTCAGTGATTTTCAAGTGGTCCACGGAAAAAAAAGTTTGAGAACCACTGCTCTAGGCTGTGGATCAGGTCCTTACACTGTGAGGAGTCTCACTGATTTCAGGACTTTTTGTGTTGTACAGCATTCTGTCACTGAGAGTAAGTATCAGAAGGTGGGCCAAAGTAATTCATGAGAGAAGCCTTCACATGGTCATGCAATCCAGTTTTATTTCAGTTAAAGCTGAGTGGTGGTCTATATTGTGGTATAGAGTAAGGTCCCATCCAGGCTAAAATGACTCAAGCAACAGAACCTCCACTACTTAGCAATTTAAATGACCCATTTTATCATGATGGCAAGGCATGTTACAGAACACTGTAAATTTTAATAGGCTATCACATATAAAGCACAGTTAAAAAAATCATAGATACATAGAATTAGATAATACGAGGGACAAGTTAATTGATGGTGTCATCCCGACTGGTACCTCTTATTGCTTAATTAACCAGTAAGTCACCACAAGCCACTGAGCTGTCTGTTGTAATATGTGTAATAGATGGGGAAAGTTGGCCTGAGGGACTGCCACTGATTGAAGAGCTGTGCCCCCACTTCCTCCATAAAGGCTGAACCTGATGATGCGTTCACTTTCAGCTGGTGAGGGAAGCAAGAGACATCAAGAATTAGGCCCATTGCCCTGCACATGAGAACAATGGACTGGAAAGCACCTCCTAAAAAGTCAAGTTCAGCCCCCTGTAATTGCAGGCAAACCACATGGTAACATTGTCCAGAAGGGTCCATGTTGTCTTCTCTCACATGCCACAGGCACAAAGCACCTCACATAGCAGTACAGAAAACTATCCAGTAGCCCCACAGCAAGTAGGGGCCAGACTTAAAGCCTGGCAGTACTAACCCTTGTCCAACAGTTTATAACCGGGATGGGCAATTGTCTTGGCTGGAAGGCCGCTTAACAACTTTTGGTGAGCTATTGAGGGTCGCAAGGGTAGCCCCACCCCTTGGCAGGTGCCCCACCCCCTGGCTGCCATCTTGGGATGAGAAGGCCCGCCCCCTAACCCTGACCTTTATCACCAGAAGTCCCTCTGCTTGCCCCAGAAGTACTCCTTTTGGGAGTGAGGGAGTTGCCATCATGAAACCAGAAAAAAACCTCAATCATATACTAACAAAAAAAAATCAATCATCTACTAGAACTTATTTTATTTTTTATTTTTTTTAAATTGCCCTGATATACGTATGTTTGCATAATGTATCTAAAGGCAATTGCATAATAGCTCAAAATACAGTCCTACTCTTGTATATTGTGTGTGGTGGGATGTGGGAGGCGGGGGTGTGGGGACTGTGAGAGGGTGTGGGTGGAGGGCAGGGGTCATCCTGGAGCATCTGAGTCTCTGGAGCTGCATGTGGTATCAATGAGTGGGGCCAGCCCTGCCTGGCCCTGTAGCGTGCAACCCCGTACACTCCCACCCCAGTCCCTGGGTGCCAATGGTGGCAGCATTCAGGATCAGCCCCAACCAACCCAATAGTGCTCCCACCCAAGGCCGCAGCCGCATGTGGTGGCAGGGTGCAGGACCAGCCCCACAGCATGCTTCCATCCCAGTCCCCAGCTGCAGGTGGTGGCAGCATGTGGGGCCAGCCCCACCCGGCCCTGTAATACACAGCTCCTACCCAAGTCCCTGGCTGCACCCAGTGGCAGCATGTGGGGTCAGCCCCACCTGAATCAATAGCATTCCTGCCCCAGTCCCCAGCTGCACATGGTGGCAGCATGCGGGGCCAGCCCACCTCAGCCCCATAGCACATGGCTCCCTGCATTCCCAGCCTCCTTTCCCCCAGTGGGAGGCCCTGACCCTGGCCTGGTAGGGCCCATACCTTCATTTTCAGGCTTGCAGGCAGGGAGGCTGGGAACAGCCATGGGGTGACCAGGTAAAAGCCTCTGTCAGGCAGAGGCTTCTTGTCTGTAGTGTTCCCCAGCTCGGGGCTGGGAGCAGTCCAGGCGAGTGTGGGAGGGGGTTTTTAGCAATCAGATCTGCATCTCCTGCATAGAGGCACTGCTTGCAGAGGGGCAGCCCAGGGCTAGGACTTACAGAGGGTTCACAGAGGGGCCCTGTGGGCCAGATGGAATTGCCTGGCAGGCCAAATTCGTTCTGCAGGCTGTATTTTGCTTACCCCTGATTTGACCTCTTGAGGTCTCTTCCACCCCTGCTTTTCTGATTCTATGACACAGGGGCTAATTTCACTGCTACCTATAGCCAATACAGAGACACTTATGCCAATAGTGAAATAAACCCCAGGACTATAGGCTTGGGTGCAGCAGACAGAGCAAGGCCACAAAAAGCATTTGTGAGTTGTTATTGGTAGCATTCCTCACTTGGCACATTAGACAGGCCCCATTTAGTGGCTCTTAACACCTAATTAATTAGTACTCAAGGCAGAGTTTTATGTAAATTTTATTTAAATCCCAATCAGTGCTCTCATTTCCGTGCAGTTATTTTTACCATAGTATCAGCACTCAGGTGGGCAAGGAACAAAACTACCCAGGGGAGCATGGACTGACGTGCACAGCCTGAGAAAGAGACCACTAACACCAGGAGCCGGAGCAAATCCAA